ATTTAAATATTATATTATTTTGCAAATATTAAATACTAATGATAATTACAAAATAACAAAAATAACTCGCATATAAAAAAAATTATTTAAATATAAAATTATATATTGTTTATATCATAAAATATATATAAAAAAATATAAAACATGTAACAAATGATGGTGAAATAGATTATAAAGCTTTGATTATATAAAGAATATAATAATATGTGTATGTATAATATTTGTACAAATTGTTGAATTAATCGTTAATTAATTACAAAAAGAAAAATAATAAATAATGATTTATAATCATTTATTATATAAATTTTAACGTTATCTTTTACTATATATAAATACTAAATATTCTAATAAATATAATTTAAATTAATTTGTTATTTTACTCTATATGAGTAAAAGTTACTTTATTAAACTTATAATTTTTTAAACTTTCTAATTAAAAAATAAATAAACAAGTCTATGTTTATGTTTATTTTTTTAATTCTATGTTTCATCTTTTATCAAAATTCGTTTATAATTTCGTAATCATTATTTTGATAATTAATTGTTTATAATCTCAATTCTAATAGATATTAATGAAAAAATAAAGGAAAAGGAATAATTCCCTTTACCTCATGTTACTCACTTTAATATTATTTACTGTAGAATATACCATGAAAATTTATATTATATAGATACAAAAAATATTCATATATATAATATAAAATTTTTCCACGCTTGTTCATAATAAACATTTAGAAACTTTATTTTATTTCATATTATTAAATCCGTCCATTATATATAATTGAAAATATTAAATCGAAAAACAATGAAAAATAATAAATTAATCAAATTAAAAATTATGCAATATATATAAAATAATTTCAAAATAGGTTATCGAATTATAAGGGACTATAACATTTAAATAATTAAATAATTATTTATTAAATAATTATAATAAAATATCAATTATCCGAATTAATTGAAAGACAAATACATTTGAATAAAGAGATAATCGGTTAAAAAAAATCAAATTGTGAAACAAATTTGTATATTTTAAATATTCTTAAATTTAATAAATGTGTATATATACCATGTATATTATGTAAACAAATATTACTTAATATGTTCACTTCAAATTACACGTGTATATTTTCTTTTTTTAATTATAGGAAATGTTTAAATATATCATTATCATTTTATCCGGTATATTTATCCTGTTTTCGAATAATCAATAATTTTAATAATTAAAATTCAGATAATCGATGTTCTACAGTACTATTATATATTTTATTTTTATATGTTTTATATTTAATTATATCTTGATTGTACAGAATAGGCAATTATTAATTTTCCATAAATATTATAATTATATGATAATATTATTATATAGACATTGGACATCAATCTTATAAATCTGCATGCAAATCTTAAAAATAAAAAGTATTTTAAAGTATTATCTCATCAGTATTTAAAATGCAGATATAATTAGATACTTAAAAATTGAAAAATGCTATTGCGATAAATTTATTGAAATTTTGTTTAATTTTAATATTGTTAAAAAATTAATTTATTATACAATATCCCATTCGAAATCAAATCATCTTTTGTGTTCATCTTAATTAAATAATATAAACGGATATATGAAAAATTATTATAATTCTTTTACATTTAAAATTTGGAAATAATTTAATGTATTTAGCATTTTAATTTATATATAGGTGCTTTTTCTAGTCTATTTATTCGGTAACCTATTTTAAAATCATCTTGTGTGCACTTCGATTATTTATAAGGCTGTGTGCAAACAAAAATATAATAATTCAAAAAATTATTTCTTGTATAAGAAATAAAATAAATATGTAAATTAATAAATTTGACAATAATATCTTTTAAGTAATATAACAATTTATACATATTTTCATATTTTTTAGATTGATGATTAAATTTTACTTCATTAAATTTTAAATGTAAATACAAACTTAAGTCATTTAATTTTTAACTTTCAAAAGATAAAAGTTAAAAATATACATATGTATACATATACAAGTATTATTCGGGACATTTTTAAAGAATATATTATAGAAACAAAAATGAATATAATTGGTATAAGCATATCGATTCAGTTTATTTATTAAATTATAAACAATTTAAATTTACATCAATGAAATGAGATAAATAGAGGTAAAGTAAAATATTACAATTTTTACTTCATCTATTTATATAATTAATAAACTTCAAAATTATAACTTAATAAATAAATCAACATTTTTGAATATCAATTTTTATTTATTTTTATTTCTAATCAACCTTTAGTATCCTATGAATATTAACATTCTATATTCATATGTATATATATATACATGTGTGTGTGTGTGTGTGTGTGTGTGTGTGTGTGTGTGTGTGAGTGAGTGCGTGCGTGCGTGCGTGCGTGCGTGCGTGCGTGCGTGCGTGCGTGCGTGCGTGCGTGCGTGCGTGCGTGCGTGTGCGCGTTTTTTTGAGGATAAAATATATAGTTATAAATGTTTTTTGTAATAAATAAAGGCCAGTTACAAAAAAGTTGTTTTTTATACTTATGATTTAATTTGCTTATACTTATGATTTAATGAATGATCGAATGATAAAAAACAATAATTTTATCATAATTAAATTTTTCTTGTATTTCAACAACAATATTAAAATTTAAATAATAAAATTTTATAAATTTTATAAATGTTAATAATTAATTTTAAAAAATCTATAAACTTCGAAATAATATATGTAAGTACCTCAAATCTGTATGACGATGTATGTTTTGAATGATCTTATATTAAATATCTTTTCTTAGTATTAATTTATATTTATAAAGGAAAAAAGCTCAATAGAATGCTTTAAAAAATTAAAATTTTATAATAAAAAAGTATACTCATATGATAAAATCCTTGATATTTACTGTTATTCTATTTATCATTAAAATACTAATAGTATTCAAGGATTTTGCATTATTCCATACTGTTAAATAAAAATATTCATTTATTGTATATTGTTATTTTTATTCATTTCTTTATTGTTATGTATTTTTAATAATTCTTATTATATAAAGATCTATATACATAATAGAATAAAGATAAAATATAATGCACATAATCATGAGCTGAAAAATATTGTAATAAAATTTAAGAAATTAATACTAAGAATTAAAAAAAAAACAAATATTTACTAATAAATTCAATGTAACAATATAGAAAGTATGTAATATGTATGTATTAGACATAAATCAATTTTCTAGATTTATAGAATATTAATATATTCATGAAACACTTTGAAGGATCGATTATAGAAATCAAGTAAAATATAAAAGTTCGTATATAAAAATATCTGTTAATATTTTTTTTATTTAAGATATACATAAACAATTTAACTTTACATTTGATAAAGCAAGATAAAAAAAGAATGAAACTATTCTGTTTTTGTTATATTGGTACACATCTGTTCATTCTCGCTTCATTCAAAGCAAACTTTGAAATTGCTTGCAACCTAATAAATAAGTCTTAATCGATATTTTTATACATCAATTTTTGTATTTGTATTTCTTAATATTTAGAATTGATTCTTCAAAATTATACCATGAATACATTAGCATTCTATATATAGATTATTTTAAATATATGAAATTTTTAAAATCTAATGTATGTAAAATGTTGTAAATATAATATATTATTAATATTTAAAATCTTATGTATTTTAATCTAATCCCTTAATATTATAATATTATATAATACTATAATCCCTAAAGTTAATAATTTTGTCGATGCTTAATGATAAGATTGAAAAACAATATAATGGAGTTATAAAATAACAATTCAGATAACAAAAGATCGCAATTCTAAAACATATCTCGTGCTTTTTTTCAAATTTAATTAATATATTTTACTTTTATCATATTTTTAAAAAATTAAATATAATTATATATATATATATATATATATATATAAAACTAACTTATATTAAATAAAAACTATCAAATGACATATTTTCATGTAAAGTTTCATTTTCAAACAAATTTTAAAAATTGAGCATTTATCTCTCTCTCTTTTTCTCTCATATTTTTTATATATATATTTTATAAAAACTATAATATATTTGATATTTTATTATTTTATAATTTTATAAATTATTTTTTAAACTATATATAATTTTTTTTATATAAATTGAATTTTTATTAATCTGCAAAAATATAATAAAATATGATAATTTAATAATTTGAAAAAATATTGAAGTAAATTGATTCATTATTTTATAAATTCTGTAGAAAAATAAAAAGAACTATATAACAATAATCAGGAATCAACTTAATATAAAGTTAAAAACAATTAAAAGGTATTATATGAAATATAACAAAATATAATCTATTTTTCATATAATTTTTTTTTTATCTAATTAGTATTTAAATTCATTTAAAAAAATTTTAAAATAAAGATAGAATTCAAATATTTAAATGTTTTTCAAAATAATATTGATAAATGATTTTAAAAAATTATGCTGAGGAAATAATAGAAAAAATAATAGAAAAACAAAAAGAAGATAAATAAATAAATTCATATCTTTATTCATATCTTTATTCTCCAATTGAAAATAATAATTTTCTTTTAATAATGAGATAGAATTTTAAAAAAAAGGGAGTAATATTAAGAAAAGTAACTAAACTTAATAATTATTGTAATTATATCATATAAAAATTCTATAATGTAATTTTATATGATTTATTACATATTGCTATTTATAAAAAAATTATAATATCGAAATTTACACATTTTCTATCTTATGAAAATGTTTTTATTGTTTTCATATTTTTAGTCAACAGTGTATATTATCTTAATATGAATATAAGATATGTATAAATAATAATATTTCGTGTCAGTTGATTAATATTTGTAAACAATACATGTACTTGTATTTTAGTTGGAGACAAACAAGGATTCCTTTATTTGTTCATTTTCCAGTTCATAGTCATAATTCATTACAACAGTATCTTCGTCAGTTAGAAATAATTTTTAAAAAATTTTTCATCATAGTATCGACCGATAATTTTTTAAATTATCACCTTTACTGATTAGAAATCTACTTTCAATTTATCTTTAGCTAGAAAGATAAATCTTTATCGGTGAGTAAAGAAAAATCAAGAAATACTGATATAGACAAAATTATTGTCAATAGAATATTATATAATTCTTCATTTTAATTTAGCAACATGAACACCAATGCTGATGTAAATGATATTCACTTAGCATTTAGTATGATAAACGAATTTGAAACTGTATGGTTAACGATAAGTAAAGAGGAGCCTAATCAAGTCAATTATCGTATAATAAAATCATATTTGGAATATATAAAGAAGCAATTAGATTTTATCATGAAACCTCATGCTTTTGATCCTGTCGAGTATCCAGATCTAATAGAAAAAAGAAATCACTTTATGAGAAAATGTATTCCACTTATGGCTAAAGCGGAAGTATATTTGGTGAGATACAAGGAGTTTGACTTCAACCTTGAATTATGGACATGTGAATAACTACTAACATTCCGTGAATAATTTCATAAAACTTTATTGTTTTTATATGTATATTTCTATACATATATTCAAAATTTTCAACAATTTCTATTTGGGGTTATTTAAGTTGGCGGTTAGTAAAAGTTTGGGAAATATGCACGAGTTATAATTGCAAAGTTTATTAATTCCTTAAGGTATTATAAATATCTATGTTAATTTTTTTTATGTATATCAGCTTGTTTAGACTAAAGTCTTTATACACTCTTTTTATAATAAATATGTAAGCATCAATGGAAAGAAAATTATATTTTAGTTAGATTTTCTATAGATTGTGGAACATCTTTGGATTCAATATTCGTTAAAATAAATATATTTGGATTCTAAAGGTTAAAACAAATATAAAAATTAATATGAAAAATATCTATTGAGACTTGTTTATTAAGTTATTGTTTATCAAGTAAGTAATTTTATTTTGTATTATAAAATGAGACAATTTATCAAATGCTGATGATGGATTGAGAAGGACAATAAGGGCGATTTTCTTTCTTCTTTATTTAAAAATTATAAAAAATTATATCGTATTTTAAAAAATTGTTAGATATACTTAATTTAATTTAATTTATTATTTATTAAATTGTTTTGTATGCTTAATGCTTAATAAAAATATATAATATAAATTATAAATATAAATATAAAGTATAAATTAAAAACGAATTTTTTTAGTATATAGAATTTTAAAGTATAAATTAAAAAATCATGTAAAAGAAAATTCAAAAATCAATATTTACATAATTTATCTCTTTCAAGTATGATATCCATGATTTTATCTAACACAAAATATAATTTGTGATAAATATCTTTTTCATAATTATAAATATATAGAGTTCATTCGATTGTATATCATCTTTTATATTTATTTTGACTTTTAGAATCGATTCTTCAAAGATGCTCCATGAATTATTAACATTTTGAATAATTTAATATACATAATTATAATATTTTACTTTAATTTATTAAAAAATAATCATTGGATCAATATAATGAATAATTTTTTGCACTCTAGATCAAAACTTCTGTTTCAAACAGGTTACACATTATGATGCCGTAAAGTATTCTACGAAGTAAAACAACATGGAAATAATAAATAAATAAATAAATTCTGTGTTAAATATATAAATTCTTATTATGTAAGTCATTACGAGAATCATGTGCATGAAAAATATTCATATAATTTCGTAACAAATTCTATGTAAGTATATATTAATCACCGTGTTATATTGCTATTTCTTGTATTATATAAACCATATTGTAATATATATAATCCATCTTAAAAAAACTAATATTACGAATACGAAATTGTACAAAATGAAATAGCAAACTTTACTTCGGAATATTAAAATTTTTTCTCTTTTTTTAAATTTTTTTAGATTTTGATTTAGAACCCAAAAATGTTCTTAAGTGTTTATTGGTTCAAAAATTACATATGTGTTTCGCATTTTTTAAATATTTTTTATATGACATTATTTTGATTTTATATAATTCGCATTAAGATTGAACGCATTAAGTTTAATTATCTATATATATGTTCTATTTAAATTTTTAAATATATCTTCTTTTTTTTTTACAATGAAATTTATAATGAAATCTTCTAAACTAATAATTTTTTATTATAATAATATTTTTGCTATATAATTATTTTGAAAGAAATGACGAAATACAAAAAAAAAATATAATATTACATTGTTTGATTTTATTGATTGTGCAAAGATTATATTTAAGATATTTAAAATATTTTAAGATATGTTCATCGAAAGAAAGATTTTTACACATTAAAGTGTTATGCAAGTTTTTTACACATTACTAATTATTATTATTAATTACTAATACTAATTATCGATTTCAATAAAGAATAAAAAAATAAACACTACTGTTAATCGATATATAATTAAAACTTAATTAAAAAATATTTTTAATTAAAATTAACTTTAATTTAATCTTAAATTAATAAGACTTTTATTAAACATAATCGAATATAAAAATAGAAGTTCAATTAATATAATCATATTCATAATATCCTAAAGCGAATACAGAATAATATATATTGTTATTTCTATGAGTTAAAAAAAGCTTTAACATATTGATATTTTTGAGAGAATTGAGAGCAAAATTTAAATTATTCGTGGGCATATAAAATATTACATATTTTTTCAAATAAACAATTTAAATAATATTAGCAAAGAGAAAGTTAGAACTCAATAGAAAGTTTTCTCTTAAAAATTCTAAATTTAATCATTATTGTTGTAATAAATTAGAAATTTAATAAATCATGCATAATCCTTAAAATTTTTGAAGACATTCAACTTAAATTATTTATATTATTCTTATTTACATTATAACAAAAATAGATCATAAATTTTGTTAAAAGCTTTTTGATTTTTTATATTCTGTTATTAATTGCAACAACAAGACACTTTCATTAATAGCCTATATATAAATAAAAATTAATGGGAAATAATTTTTATTAATAGAACTAATCTATTATCGAATCATGAACTATAGAAAATTAATAGATTTTGAATTTAGAAAGAGGGATTACAAGAAAGAAAATATTTTACAAATAGAATATTTTAAAATAATTTTCTATTTCGAATAATTAACATCTTACTAAATTATATCTATTATAATAAAAATAATTTTATCAATCAAAAATAGAACATTCAACACTGTATAGATACCAACTTATGCTGAATAAAATAATTCTTGATCACTAAATATTTACAGCTTTCTTTAGATACTTTTGATATAAAATAATGTTAAATTTGGTAATATTGTTTTTACTAATAGTAATAAGAAGAAAACGAGAATTATATCGTTCTATGTTTTATATTCATATTTTAGTATTAAAATAAAATTAAAGAAGTTGTAAAAAAATTGATTTAAATATACATAATTTATAAATTTTAATATTAATTAAATAATGTGTAAGTATTATAATAATAATAAATAAAAATAATATATGTAAAATAATAAAAAAAATATACGAATTTGAGGTTATATTGCTTATATTTAAGCTATTTACAATTAATTTAAACAAATTTTATTAATGTAAAGTTTAAATTATTTTTTAAACAAAAGTATAACTTTTAAAAGTGAATACAAATTAATAAAAATGAAAAAGGATTTTCAATATTAAACAAAAGAAATTAAGTGAAAATATGAATTAAATGAATAAGATAGAAATTTAAAGAAGAATTCATAGTCAAAATTTATAGAAATAATTACAAATCTTATTAAAAATCAAACTTTATTAAAAAAAAATATTATAAATATTATTATTCACTAATTATAAATTAATAAAATTTTGTATAAGTTAATAAATTTATAAGATTTTAATATAAAAAAGTTATATGATACTACTATATATATACATAGTAACACATTATTATTATAGAACTACTACTAAATTACTATATTGTAATATAAAAATATATTATAATATATAATATATATAATATATATATAATATATATTAGTATAATAATATAATATAATATAAGAAATTTAAATATAATATGATAATAAAAAATATGAAATAAACTTATCGAATCATGAATATATAGTATAATATATATCTTATATAGTATAATAAATAATATTATATAGTATAATAAAATTTAAATAAAAAAATATGAAATAAAAACTTACAATTTTTAATTTAATATTTTTATATAAATAAGAAATTCAAATATGCCACCAAAAAAAAGCACAAATACTTCAAAGGCAAATAAATCTAAAACTGTAGAAACTAACAATGGAAAAGAAGAGAAAAAAAAAGGAAATGCTGGGAATGCTGTAAAGGTATGTTAAATGTATATTAAAAAATAATTGTATCCTACTTATATAAAAATAGATCTATTATTATTATATAGATATATAATTATTATATATCCTTTAATTATTTTACTATAAAGGTTAGACACATACTATGTGAAAAACAATCAAAAGTTTTGGAAGCTTTAGAAAAATTAAAAGCTGGAGGGAAATTTAATGAAGTGGCTGCCATTTATAGTGAAGACAAAGCAAGATCTGGGGTAATGTAATGCTTATTATTTGTAATATATAAAATATTAATTTTTAAATAATTGCATGTATGTAATATACATATAATATACATATATATATATATAAAAAATTAAACTATAAATATTTAATGTTTAAGGGTGATCTTGGATGGATGATTAGAGGATCAATGATAGGTCCATTTCAAGAAGCTGCATTTGCATTACCTATTTCTTCTATTAATTCTCCAATCTACACAGATCCACCAATTAAAACAAAATTTGGTTATCATATTATAATGGTAGAAAGTAAAAAATAAATGATGTATAAATAATTATGTATATTTATAATCTATTGATATATTTAATTTAACTGTATGAAATTAATAAATAATTTATATTTTTATTTTTTTATAAAAAAAAATTAAATAATTATAAAGAAAATTAGAAAAATAAAATCTTACTGATTTTGATAATTTTGAAATATTTTGCTAAGAATAACATTTTAAATAATTTTTTCTTGTATATATATCATACTATTCAGCTTTATATTTCAGAATAGTAAAAAATTTTTAATATTATATAATGTATATTATGTAACATATCTATATGTATGCATTTGTAAGAGCATACATATCAGTATTTAACTGCCTTTTTTATTGCCTTTTATTATTAAATATTCTTCATACAAATTATTTCAATCACTAAATATAGTCATTTTTTAATCATTTTTTCATAACGAACGAATGAACAAAATATGTAGAAATTATATTTGAAAAATATAATGAGTTATATGAACTTTTTAACATATGTAATAATTATGATAACTTATTTTTGATTTAATTGTGATTGATTTTTTCTAATGAAAATTTATCTTAGAAAAAAACAAAAGAAATTTCATTTTAAATTTTATATCATCTCTTATTAACTTATTATATATTAAGTTAGATTAAAAAATATTTCTTATTTTTATTAACAATATTTAATTATTTCATGAATAACGAAAATTCAATATTTTAATAACTTTTTAATAAATTAATATTAAATAATTTAATAAATAATTTCAAAATAATTTTTTATATCAATTTTTATCTTAAATTCTCTGAATTTGAAAAATATTCAAAAGTTTCATGAATAATATGATATTAATACTATATATATATATATATATATATATATTATGGAACGATAGCTTGACATCGACTGAACATAAAAATGCTCTCACTTAGTACCAGTACATTTCTGACTAAAATCTATAAAAACTATCAATAACGTATCAGCATTCAAATACTTTTGTAACCTAAAAATCTATAAAAACTATCAATAACATATCAACATTCAAATACTTTTGTAACCTATTAATAGTGCGTGCATATAATAAATGTATCATAACTATTGCATAAATTAGTGAATTATTTTCAAATTTTGCTGACATAATCTTGAGATTTCCTTCCTATTATACCTCTTATTGTCTTAAACAAGTTTTTTTTAGCATATATATTTCATTCATTAAAAATTGCAAATATAAGCATTCGAATACTTAAGTTACATTTATTATATTACATTATTGATTGACAAATTGGCAGTTGAAAAGAATCTGATTGATTTCGGCAATACATTCATAAAAATGAATATTCTTCTGATCTATTTCATCTCAACTACCAATTTATTACTAATGTATCGTACTTTATATTTAAAATTACTTATATTATGTATGATATGTGTGTATGTATAATTTACAATGAAATAATATAAACTAGTAAAATTAAATTTTGGAAGAATTAAATATGTATAGAATCAATTTACTAAGTTTTCTCTTCATTGATTTTATTGATTTTGAAATATCTTTGTAAATATCATTATTAAGAATATCATTTTGATTAAATTTTTTTTCTTTACACAAAATTGATAATTGGTTTTAGTTTTTAAATTATTCGCAAATAACTTTCGATTCTACACATTAAATTTTATCTATACGTACGATTCATAGTGTGATAAACTATGTATATAATTCGTTATAACAATTAATCGATTATTTATAAAAGTACATTAGAGTATATTGAAAATTTACTTTTATATATATATATAAATAGATTTTAACGAGAAGTTTTTTAAAATTCTCTTCGTGACATATGTATGAAGAAGAATTTAATATAGTATACTAAAAATAAGATTAATTGCAATTTTAATTATTGTAATTGTTTTATATTTTATTTTTGTATTCCGCAAATCCAAAAGTTCGATGTAATATCAATAGTTTTTTTATTACTAATTTGAAAACCAAAGTTTTTATATCAGAATGACGTTTTTTATGTATAATATATAATATCCTATAATATATTTCAAAATCAATATTAAAATCAATGAGAAAAGAGTTCACCAGATATCATATATAATTTTACAATAGCATTAGATATGAATTTATATAAAATACTAAATAATTATAAGTATACAGGTATAATAACAATGAATATAATATAAACTATATTTTATTTACTTTAATTACGATTATTAGGATTAGCAAAATGAACATATCTTAATAAAGAATCATTATCTTCACACACCCATGGTTTTTTATGATGACAAGCAACATCATGCCAATTTACTCCATCATTATAAAATTGATTTAATACTGCTAAACAATTTTCTGGTGCACCTCCTTGTTGTATAGCTTCACGATTATCAGGTTGCGGTTTTCCAATTCTACAATATATTGTCATTTGTTAATTATTAATATCATATAAAATAATTTATTTTTTTTATTTTTTTTAAATAATACATTTTTTAAATATATTTCGTATAAAATAAGACATTGATTAATTATAATATAATGAAAAAATAAATCACTTTTGATATAAAAATAAATTAAAATAAATTGTGCCAAAATTTTTTAAAATTTACTATTTAATAAAAACAATTATAAAAAATTATGAGAAAAAAAATTTTATTGTATTATTCTATATCAATATTATTCACATTAACGTTGATATATTAGTAATATTATATTAGTAATAATATAATATAAACAATACAATAGATTTTTAAAAATCGTTCTTTTATTATTTTTATTTATTTTTATATAAGAAATTATTTATCATTAATTTTATTATGAATTTTAAAAAATTAAAAAAATATTTGAAAATTATAAATGCAATACTATATATAGTAAAAATACTTATAACTTATTAAATTTTAAATATTGAAAAAATAAAAAATTAATATTTTTAATTTTTAATATTCATAATAATTTTTAAAAATTTACAAAGAAGAATACTTACCCTCCACTCTCAGACCAATCATTTTGAGAGCGATCAGTAGTAGGGGCAAGTTTTTGTAATTCTGCAGTCCAGAACCAACCATTAATATGAAGAGGTTGAAGATCAGGCCTATCACATCCTTTGAAATCACAAAGTCGTCCAGATGTCCAAATATATTTTACATTATCTAAAAATTATCATTTTTTTCTAATCCATGTTTAAATGCTATGATTTTACAATATATATATATATAATATTTCAATACTTTGAACAATGCGACTTTTAATAAATTCATTCTCTGCAGAAGTTTCCAAGGAAACAAGGTCCATACATCTTTGTCTACAGAAATTTCTGCCTGCTAACCAATCAAGTTCTTGTCCATTTGTTCTTGGATCAGCCCATGAATAATAATAACCCTTACCATTAAAACGTTCATGAATAATCCCTAAAATAACATATTTAATTTTTTATTTTAAATAATATAAAATTATTAATAAATAAATTTGTATTATCTCGATAAAAATTTCATTCAATATTAAAATCTATTTTATTTGAAACACTATCTTGACATTTTTAAATAATTAAAATAGTTTATAGTTTTTTATAAAAATTAAATAAATATTCATATTTGTGATTAATTTTTTTCTTGAATAATTTTCATTTTAATAGAAATGATCTTTTAATTCAAATAAAGTAAATTTTTTTTATAAAAATTCATAAGCAATTTCGTTATAATTTAATATACGTATAACATATATTATAAATTAAAATTAATTTATTAAGTTACAAACAATCGCGTAAAACAAAACAAGACAGAAAAAAAGTAAAATCAACCTTTTAGATATTACACATTTTAAGATGTATATAAAAAAATATGTAAAATTATGTTAAATTATCTTTTAATAATAAAATAATTTATTAAATATATTAAATATATTTTTATAAAAAAAATTGACAAATCTATTCTAGTTATTTATTTTAGTATCATTGAGTAAATTCTCTTCTACATATATTTTGATAAATTATTGTTCAAATACATATTTCAAATTATAGAAAGTTAAATAAATATGTATATATTATTTAATATTCATATTCAATATTCAGATTTTTATAACTAAAATAAATTTATATAAGTTTTAAATAATAAATTTCTAATAATGAAGTATAATCATAAAAATATAAATATTTTGAAATTCATAAATTCAATTTCTATCTACGAAGAACACAAGAGAAAGTTTCATCAATGACACTCACGATTTTAAATATTACAGTCACGACTTAAATGTTAAATTGGTATGTTAATTATACAAGCCACTTTCTCGAATGACAAAAAGAAAGTTTAATGGTACATAATATAATGAGAACGCATTCCATAGAAAATTTAATAATCAGAAAAATGAAAGTTAGTAGTAAACAATAAGTTAAGATACTCAAACATATTTAAATTTTTTTAATAAAAATTTATATTTTTTGTATTTCATAAATAAATTGAAGAAAAGTTTTTTTTTATATATATTACAATAATAAATTTATACATTTTGAAATATATTTTTTATCATTAATCTGTTATTTATATTTTATATAAACTTATACTATATTATAATATTTATAAAATATTTGTATAATATATATAAATATATTATAATTATTAATTAAATAATAATGATGTTTTATAATAAATAAATACACATATTTATAATATATTTTTTTTATTATTTTTTAAATACATAATATTAGCAAAGATATAAATATAATAAAGTTTTGATAAATTTTAAGAAGAATTTTTTATATAAAAAAATCAGTATATAATAAATATAAGTAGTACTTATATACCTATATTTAAATATATTTATTATACTTATAATTTGATTATATTTGTCTTTTTTTTTAAGTTATTAATTAACAAATATAATATATTCAATATTAAATATTCAATGAATAAAAGTAAAAAATAAAATATAATAAATTTGTAAAATTATATAAATTTTAATTGCAAATTAAAAAAAAACTAATTTAAAGAAAAGAATGAGTATTTAAAAAATTATAGTAAATTTTATAATAAAATTAAAAATATTCGTGCATATCAATTTCAATATTGAAATATAACAAAATGTTGATTGTTTCGTTTCAATTTTATTTCAAAAGCATAAACATGAAGAACTTCCTCGCGTTTTTTTTTTTGATTTAATAATATTATTAATTATAATAAAAATATATTATAATATTATATATTATTATATATATTGTTGTAAAAATATTATGAGATATTATTCTATTATATTATTCTATTAAGACTATTTTTATTTATCGCAATTCAAATTTATAAAAAAACCTTATTATTAAAAAACTACAAATTATTATTAAAAATTATTATTAAAAAGCTACAAAACTCTCGTTATTGCAGCAAACATAAATATAATCAAAGTTATTTTGTATGAAATTATAATTTACTACTTACTTTGTGCACAAAGCGCAGGAATTGGTGCTTCTAAAATTCTTCTAGTAGGTTGAAACTGAGCCGTTGATAAAACAATTAATGTACCAAATACAATAATAAATCGTATCATTTTTCCAGCTAGAATATAAAAATATAAATATTAATTATATAAATAAATATATATATAAATATAAATATAGATATAATACTTCAGAAATAAAATTCATCTTTATTTGTATATTATAGTTACTTTGCAATAATGAAAAAAAAAATTTTCTAATATTTTTTCTAATTCTAAAATTTAATAATTGTTTATAGTGATAATTTTAATATTATATCTGTCAATGAATCAATATATAATAGGCCAATAAGTAAGTATTAAAAGAAAATTTATTCGAAATAAAATATATTATATTTTATAAAAAAATGTATAATATATATATATATATATATCAATATATATCAATTCTTTGATAATATAACAAGTTTAAGCGCTAACAATTCTTTTTCCTAAAGTATTTTTGAAATTATTACATACATTTAATTATTACAATTATTATTTATTAACAGTAAAAATATAAAAATATATGATTAAAATAACTATAACAAAACGTTATAATAATTTCATACTATATATTCCGTATATTACAATTATACATATCGAGTAAATGGTATTTTCTAAAATAATTTAAACGGAAAATTTTCTTTTTTTTTTACTTTTTATATTTTAATATTTTTTGTGATAATGAACATAAAGATAAAAAATTATATGCGAAGATAAACATATATATAAAAATAAAAATTTTTATTATTATAAATTTTGTAAAACAAAATTAAAATAAATTAAAATTAAATTAATCTTTAAATAAAATTAAAACAATAATTTTATTTTTTTTTTTATTATAATATATTTCAGCTAATTATATGATATATAATATTTAAAAAATTATGTATAATACTATTCCAATTATTTTGACTATGAAATTTATAATTGAATTTGTAAATATTCATAAATACTTTCATAATAATTAATTAAATTTTCATGCGTAATATTTATTTAAATATTTATTGTTGATATAATGAATCATATAATTAAAATAAAGAATTATAAAATATCTACTGTCTAAATTGTATTTCTTAAGAAAACTTAATTAATAAATATTAATAAAATTTAAGTTTCTTTTAAGGATTTCTTTGATTAATATAAAATCAAAAAAAATCTTTTTCGTTGTATTGAATCAACGATGCTTACCTAAAGACGTTCTCCGCAGAACTGCGTTGCTCCCACAAGTAGCACCCCTATATATACATATATATAAGTACATGCAATGGGGACATGATGTCAATACTTTTACGATTATACGAAATATTTTCGAGAAGTATTTAAACAATTTTGTATACTATACTCGTATATTGATATTTTTGTATATCATCTGAAAAAAAAATTTTTAAAATATTATTTTAATAAAGATATAAATATTATAATAGTTAATTTCTACAAAATGTAACAGTATGTAACAATTTTAATACATGATATTGATGATAGAATTTGATAATTTATTAACACAATAATAATATATACTTTCATTATTATTATAAGATATTTATACAAAACAAATTAATTAATTTCAAATAATATAGAAATCTTCCTTTCTGTTTATACAAATATACATACTGTTCACTACCTTTATGCCTTTATATTTTTGCGGGTGTTATTAAAAGATATATAATGAAATATATATATCTTTTTTTCTGTAAGTATTACAAATATATTAATACAATTACAATATTAATTAAATTGATTGTAAATAAAATAAATAATTAATTTTTTTATTTTTTATTATGAAAATAATTTAGTAGAAAAAATTTGAAAAAAGATTCTTTATTATATAACTTTTTTTATATTTTCTGTCAGAAAATTAGCAATATTTTTTTTTGAATTATAATAAACTAGATAGAAAATGTATTGTGCAAATGTTCTAAGTTATCTATATATACTTAAGTTTCAAAATATTTATCTAAATTATATTTATTACAATTAAGAGAATTCTTTACTTATTTTTTATATACTAATATTTTTAAAATATTTCTATCTTAATAATGAAGAACATTATAGGTACCGTTAGAAAATAATTTTAAAAGGTAATGTAAGGAGGTGACCTGAAAACCTAAAAAACATATCGATTGGATGAATCGATTTTGATTGTATATACAATAAATAAAAAGAAATAAATTTAATAATTTTTTTAAATATATATTAAATACACATATTTAATAAATTTCACATTGATAATCGTTAAATAATGAAATATATTATTAAAAATGTCTTTTTAAAAAGAAAAATTATTATTACTATTATTTTTACAATTTTATAAAAATTATAACAAAAAATAAAAATTCTCTTTGAAATAATTTTTATTGAAAATAATAATTAATTATTGAACTTTAAACAATTTTCTCTTTTATTGTATCTTTGATTATTTTACAAAAAAAAAAATAAATAGATACTATTAAATAATAAAACATAATTGCTATGAGATTGATTTTTTTATAATTACAATATATTATATTAAATCAACGATAAAAGAATAACTATTTTTTATTAATGATCTGTAAATAAAAAAAACAGAAAATATTTTAAAATAAAAACAATATTTTATTTTTTAATCTATATTTTTTATTTATATATTATAAATATATATTAAATATATTAAATATATATATTATAATATATATTAAATAAATATATATTAGAAGTATATTATAAATGTTATTGTAAAAAATAGACATTAATTGTTTGATTTTTTAATTGACTACATATAATTTTATGTAATATGAATTATCTTATATTATTGCTATATTATTAACATTTAAATATTTACAAATTAAAGATTGATATATAGTGATTTAAATTTTTACAAATTATAAAATATTTTTTTAATTACAAAATATAATTCAAGGAAATTATAAATTTTTTTAAATATAAATTATATTTATTTATATATAAATATTTTTTTTATAAATAATGTTAAAAGTAACGTTTTATTATACATAACATAAAGAAGTTTTTAGTTAACATTTAGAAGTTTTTAAAACAAGTAAATATATATAATATATATGTATTCTATATGTAAATATCAACTATATATAAATATTTTTCGATATTTATTATTAATATATTTTTATAAATGATTTTTTTTATATTTAAAAAATAAAAAAGTGAAATAAAATATTAATTTAATAATACAATTTCAATAAAAGTATACATATATACATCGCAATAAAGATTATATTTATATTTATAATATTTACATAATAATAATAATAATTATTTATAATTATTATTATTATTATGTAAATATTATAATTAAATTTTAATATATAAAAATATAAATTATGTTTATATATAATTTTTATTATATTTAAAGTCAATTTTCTTAAAAATAAAAAAATTGGAATATGAAAAAATTTCGTTTTGTTATTTTTTTTTATATTATATCTTTTTCAAAATGTACCATCAATTACAAGATATTTTATATAATATATACTAGTATGTATGAAGTTTTAAATACAATTGATAGTTTGGATGAAATTGTAAATATTAATTTTAATATTACTATAATAAAATTCTTTTTCAAGAAGTAATTTATCTATTTATATCATATAATTCATGATAATTATTTATACAATTAATATAATTAATAATAATTAGATGTTGAATATATACAAAAATGGAATTTAAAATATAAATTCTTTTCTTCCTTATATATCATAATGTGTACTATATTTTTCAATTTTTTTTATTTTTTTGTATATCATGTATTTATATTCTGTATTTTTTTATATATATATTTAAATTTTTCATAAATAACCATTAATAATGATTATTTAATAATTAGTAAAATTAGTTATTATTTAATAGTAATAATTATTAACTAATAATTATTAATAGTAATTAATAGTATCATTAAATATTGAAATTAAAAAATGTTATCTTTTTAACATTTTTTTTAATAAAAAAAAATTTTTTAAATTCTTTTTATATAACTTTCAATGTATGCATTTATTATATAATATAAAATATATTATATTTTAATTGTTAATTTAATTTAAAAATGCTGTGAATTTTGAAATTTATAAAACAAGATATGTATCAGAATCTAGTAATTTAAATTTTACGCATAGTATAATCTCAAAATCCCTAGTAATACTACAAACATGCTTATATATATACAAATATATATACTTTTTTCAAGAAATGTAATGAAATGATTGTGTACTTTCATTCGAATATAATGTAATGAATTATTTATTATTTAATTCAATTATTTCTTAAAAATTTGTTATTATTATTCATAAATGTAATAAATATAAACAAATATTTATAAACCTTATATGTATATTAAAAAATTGTTTATCTTGTGGAAAGAAACAATATGTCCACTATTCTTCTGAGCATTCAATATTTTCAATTTATTAAATATTATAATATAAATGTAAGATAATGTAATTTCATTTATCGCTTTTTGACAATGTATTTTGTTGCAAAACTTGTTTTCGGATTTTATTTGTGAATCATGACAGAGTCGGAACTTTGCCGGCTCTGTGCCGAAACCAAAGAGAATTTTATTGGAATTTATGAAGCAGAAGGACAAAAATTAGCCATAGAAGCAAAAATTGCTAAATGTTTACAAATTCAGGTAAAAATAATTTCTCTTTTTTTCTTCTTTTCAATATAATAAATTTAACGAGTTTTTTTATTTATATACTTATATTAATAAAATATGTCTTTTTTTTTCTATATTTTATAATTATTAAAATAATTATTTGTATGTATATTTAAATACAATATATATTAATATTTAAAATAAAATATTACTTGCAGGTACTAACAAATGATGGATTACCACTTACAGTTTGTATAGATTGTTGTATTTTATTGAATCAATGTAATGAATTTTTTGAAAAAACTAATCAAGCACAAGTATCTTTAAGACAATTACTTCTTGATCCTAAAGTTGAACCACAACCCTTAGAATCAAATATAAACTATATTGATAAAACAATTACATTTCCAAAGGAAGAAGTTAATGAAGGAATTGTTGAATGTCATTTATCAAATTATATTCATGACACATCTAATGTTTCACATAATTATTTTATCGAAGAAAATAAAAGTGATAATCAAAAACATGAAACTGAAGAACCTCAAGATATTATAAAACAAAAAAAATGTAAAATTCAATTAAAAAAGACTTCAGTTAAACAAACTAGAAAAAAATTAAAACGAAAAAATCAAAAAATGGAAGATTCTGATGTATATATGAATACTGATTTAAAAAAAGAAAATAAGAATATAGATATAAAAAGTAATATTAAAATTCCAGATAATTATATGACAGGTAAATATATATATATTTATATCTATATTTATTATATATATTTATTATTTATATATATATATATATATAATATAATAAAAAATATATATATTAATATTATTATATGTAATATTTTATATATATAATATATATATTATATATATATAATATTTTATATATATAATATATATATTATATGTAATATGTCTAATGATTTTAATATATAAAAATCATTTAACTTTCTAAAATATTTTAAAATATAAATCATCTTCAAATTTTCATTTGTTTTTCAAAATTTTGTAAAAATAGATTCAATTTCTAAAAACTCTCTAAATTTAGATAGATTATTATATAATATTTTTTTCAATTTTTTGATTAAAATTTAACGGTATTTTATATGTATATATATATATAACTATATGTATATATATGTATATATATATAACTATATGTATATATATACAATATAAAAAATATTTATATATATATTTTATTTTATATTTGTTCTATATTTTATATTTTTCAATAATATTCAATTTTTAGTAATCATAAAAATACTTAAAAAAATATTACAAAATATTCTTAATTAATTAATACATAAATATTATAATAATTGTAATAATGTCAAAATTTTTTATTGTCATTATATAACATATATATATATATAACATTTGAAACTTTCATAGAGCAATTCTAAAATATAAATAATCAAAATTATATATAATGTAATTCTTGAAAAAATATTTAATTGTTATTGTTATTTTTATGTACTAAAATTCATGTAAAATGGATGAAAACAAAGTTGAAGAAATTTATTTCAGAAACTCTTAAAGAAATGATTAAAGAAATTAAAAATATAGTAATTATTCATTTTTATATAGTAATATAGTAATTATTCATTTTTTAAACAAGAAAATCTAAAATTTGTAATTAAGGATGATTTGCTTAATCATTACTATATAATTTATTAGTACAAAATAATCTCCAAACAAAAAATAAAATATAATATATAAATGTAACACAAGAAGTGACCATATAATTTCCAATTATTAAGTAATAGTAATATATAATAGAATTGCAAATTAAAAACTAGAAACTTATATTATAAACTTATATTATAAAATATTTGAAAAAATTTTTATATACATCTATCTTTTTTTACAGTAACATTAGATATGTTATGATCTTTAAAAAATATTTCTTTTAATTTATTATAAATAAATAAACTTATAGTAAATTTTATATAAATAGTTTTTCATTTTATTTGATCATTTCTCTCTGAGTTTCTTTATTTATATTTATTTATTTTTTTTTTTTATTTCTTACTTTTATTTCTTCTCACTACTTAGCAATAATTACTTTTAATTAATTCTATATATCATACAAGTTTTTAGTTTTTTTTTTTTTTTTAATATCTTATGATTCTAAATGATATTTAATTTCAATGTACCATAATTTATACAATACAAATGTTTTATATTAAAGAGATTTTATGACATAAAATAAGATGAAAATTGCGTTGAAATTTTTTTCGAGAAAATGAAATATTTATACATAAAATATAAAGTATTATAAATAAATAAATTTGGCTGATTCCCATTTGAATATAAATGAATATAAATGAAATTATAAAAATATTTTACATAAAATACAGTAAAATATAGTAAAATAAGTAAAATATATAAAATAACATTATTGTTTAAGACTTTTTTTTTTCAAGAATTATATCTTCACTTAGCAATCAATTATAAATATACTTGATTAATTTTTAAATGCATTCAGTTAAAAATAGTATTTTGTAATAATAATATTATTTTATTATCTTTGTTTTTTTATTTTATATTTTGAATTATAGAATTTTTTTAACTTCTTTTATACTATAAATTACAAGATATCTTATATATTTATATAAAGTTTTAATAAAATTACATTAGTTATTTAAAAATTACATTTATTAAAATATAATTTTTCAATATAGGCACAGATACAGATTTAGAAATCATAGAAGCACATGCTGTAGAAATTTTAAAATTTGGACGCAAAAGAGAAGAATCTTTAAATAGGTATCCATGGCTTTGCACTGATTGTAATGATAAATTACCCAGTTTAGAAAAATTGAAAGAACATCATGAAACTATTCACAATCAACAAGCAAAATATATGTGTGTATTATGTTGTAAAGTTTATGACAAATATTATGGTTTTCTTACTCATGTCAAACGACATAAAAACAAAACAAAATTCAGGTAAAAAATATTTATTAATATATATATTTATATACATATAAAATATTATTTATATAATAACTTTAATAAAACTGTTTAATGCATATTATAAATGTTACAAAGTTGTGAAGATTGTGGAAAATCATTTGTACATAAGAAAGTATTAGATTCTCACAAGGCAATTCACAGTGAGGAGAGGCCTCATATATGTCAAACTTGTGGAAAAGCATTTAGGCAACAAAGTGCTTTATATATTCATAGTAGATGTCATTTACCAGATACTATGAAAAATAGATTTCCTTGTGATCAGTGTGATAAAAGGTATAATTCAATAATTGAACTTAATTTATTTATTAAAATAATATATTATTTATTTATATTTATATATNAGAATCAAATCTAAAGATCAAAACAAATGCAAAAATTGTATATATAAAAATATTAGTTTTATTAAGTTATAAGTTTGCGTTAGAGCAAAATGGAGACAGAATAAGGTAATAGTATAATAATAAAAATAAAACTATCTCATTCTATCTCTGTTTTGCTATATTAAATAAAAAAATCATAAATCATTGAATGAATATACATATTAACTATTATATTAATCAAATCATTTTTCAAATATTTAAAATTATATAAAGATCATTTTAGGCAAATCTTTTTTTCAGTTTCTATAAAAATAATAAAAAAATTATTTTAAAAAAATTTTCTTTCCGCAATATTTTTCTTTTACAATTATTTAAATTACATTATTTTTGTATTGTTAAAAACAAAAAAAAAAGAGAAAGATATTTAGTTCAAGATACTCTATATTTTATTCTATTCATTACAGGCATAAAAAGCATTAAAAGAACCATGTTTCACAACTTAACTAAAATATTATTAATATTAAATTTGATAATTGCAATTAAAAATAACAGAAAATTAATATGGTATTTTATTTTTAAAAAATAAATGCGGATTTCATTGTCCCTTTAGGAATCCTCTTTCAGATTTATACAACTAAAATGATGTTTTATTTAATTTAAAAGAAAACAAAAGCATATTTGTAGATTTTGAAGAAAATGACTTATCTACTTTATATATGATTTATCCTATATCATCGAATAATAAAATCAGGTAAATAAATTTTATATAATAATTTATAATTAATAGAAATTTTAATAATTTTATGTAATGTTTATACAAAATTTATAAAAAAATTGAATGTGATTTTTAACAAGAATTTTCATATTATATATATTATACATTTTAGGATATCATCTTTACATGATGATGAAAAAGTCAATAATATAAAGCCAAGATATTTAATTGCTGCATTAAATAATACAAAAAAAAAAATATTTGAAATTAATACTCTTATTAAGAAGGAAAGAAAAAAAATTAAAATATTAATAAAGTCTGATAAATTTTAATAAAAGTGCATTTAAAAATAATTCTGTATAAAAAAAAATAATTATCTTAAAATATCAAAAAAAATTTTTGAAAAAAAAGTTGTTTAATCTTATACATATATTTTTTAAATATTGTAACTTTATTATAAATCATTATATAAACAAATTGTATACATTATATATTTACCTGTTTTTTAAAGAAAAAATTGCAACGAAATATAAATATAAATAAAGTTACTCTAGAAATCTACTCTACTAATTAAATTTTAAATAATTAATTTTTTTTCAAAAAATTTTTTTCAAAAAGTTAAGTTACAACACATGGTTCCTTTAATATTATTTATTTTTGTGGTAATTATAAAATATAACAAAAAATAATTATTTTAATAATTTTTTAATGAATTTTTATCAATTTCAAAATCAATATAATTATTAAAAATAATAATAATATTTAATAATATTATATAATATTTGATTATTATAAATAAAGTATAAATATGCAAATAATCAAGAAAGTTTTTCAGATTTTCAACAAAGCCAAATTTAGTCACACATAAACGCATCCATTCTGGTGTTAGAAATTTTACATGTGATCAATGTGGTAAAAGTTTTATTCAAAAAGGAAATTTAGAAGCTCATTTTTTAACTCATTCAGCAGACAAACCATATAGTTGTACCCAATGTTCGAAAGCGTATGTTTACTAAAAAAAATAAAATTTTTTATATATTTACTTAGTAATTTTAATTATATTTAATGTAATTTTCAGTTTTAAAACGCCATTGCAATTAAAAAAACATGAAACAGTTCATACAGGAGCAAAACCACATCAGTGTGCTGTATGTGGAAGAACTTTTAGAGAAAAAGGTACATTAAGAGAGCACCATAGAATACATACTGGTGCAATGCCATTTACATGTGAATTTTGTGGTAAATGTTTTCGCTTTAAAGGAATATTAACTGTAAGTTAATATAATAATTAATTCAGTAAATGAGTTTATTGAATAAATTATTTGTTTTTAAAACATAAAATAATATTATTTAAAAATTTATGTTTAGACACATAGAAGACAACATACTGGTGAACGTCCATATAGTTGTTTAGAATGTCAACACCATTTCACAAATTGGCCAAACTATAATAAACATATGAAACGTAGACATGGAATTAATACATCACATACAAAACATTTGTCACAATCTCAGCAAATACAATCACAGCAGCAACTACAAGAACAGCCACAACCAGAACAATCACAAATAGATCAATCAAATGCAGAGCAGTCATTGTCTATATCTAATACGGAATCATCAACTGTACATGTAAGAAATTATAATTTAATCTAATTTTATAGTTTATAGAAAATATAAAAAATATATAGCATTATAAAGCATACAAAATTTATTTCAGAGATAAATTCAAAATATTATGAATTTTATATAAATCTGCAACAAATTATTTTCAAAATATTATGTCTTTAATATCTCTAAAAGTTAAGATGAAGATCATGAGAAAATCTTAATTATTTCTCATAATATATATCATATAATTATATATATATCATATAAATCATAAATATCTTAGAATTTTTATTTTTTAATTAACTAGATTTTTTTCATTTTTAAAACCCAAATATTAAGAAATTTTGAAATTCTTTGAATTTTTTTTTTTTATATAAAAATTGATATTGCCAAAAAAATGAATATATATCACATAAATCATATAAGAAATGCAATTACAATCATTGATTTTTCCAAAATTAATAATAATTTATAGAATTTCGAAAATGATGATAATATTTTACATAGTCGATTTTTAAGATATTCAAATAATTCAAAATATATTATTAAAATTTGAAAAAAATTAGCAAACTTAAAACAAGTTATTTAAAAATATTATAAATAATAATAATATTAAAAACAAGTTTATTTAAAAATATAATTTTAATAATTATTATAAAATAATAATAATAATCAGTATTAAAAAAATTTAGTTACTATCTTGATATTATATTAAAATATAATGAATGAATTTTTTTCTATTATACATAAAGTTCTTTTTTACTTCTATTGTAAAATATTTATTATTTTCAATTATTATTTTATTATAATAATTTCATTAAGTCAAATTTTTTTAAAGGATTATTTTCTTTTAAATCCTCTCAAAATTTATTTCAAAATAATATTTATTAAATAATTTATTTTTTATTAAATTTTTATTTAAATAATATAATATAATATTTATATTATAAAATCAAAATGTAATATTATGTTTATTTGTTAAATATTATTTTCTTTTAAATGATATATAAAATTAATATAATTCTAAAAATATTGAATGTGACTTTATTTGTGATTATAATATATGATTCTCCTTCAATATTTATATAAGTGTCATCAAAATATGTTTTTATTATGTAATATTTTATCATATTTAATTTAATTTTTTCCATGAAACTATTATATTTATGGTATTATTATCCTTTTTTTTTACTGTATCATTTTTTATTATCTGATGTTTATATGAAAATTATCAGTATAAATCTTTATTTTTTATATTTTAATAGCAGAAAAAAATTAAATTATATTTTATCAATATTATAAGCATTGAAAACTTCTTTTATAATATTTCTTATTAAACTTCTTTTATAATATTTGATAATTAAATATTAAATATTTAAATTTTATATTAAATATTTATATTTTACTACATCAAAAAATTTTCGAAATATTACTTGAATTTTTTCAAGATATACATAAATACTTAATATTGAAAAGCCATAGTATGAATAACTTTTAAATCAAGTGTTTTATATTTCTATAAATAATATTAAAAAATCTGACTTTAAAAAGTATATATATTTAAAAAATATGATTTAAGTATGATTCTATTATATATTCATTTATTAATTCATATCATAATTGATCTCATATATTAAAAAATCATTAATTTTAATGATTTTCTTATTTTCTATATAAATACTATAATATAAAATAGATTTTAATTTGACCAACAATAAAATTTATGCTTCAAATATTAAAAAATTAACAATATAACCTCAATTATTAAAATTAGTTCTACTTGAAAACAATATATAGAAAACAATATAAAGAAGAAAATTATTATAATAATTCATTCTTTAATATATTCATTGACAAAAATATATCAATTTCTATGTAGTGTAATATAATGGATGAAATTTATGACGTTTATTAATATTCATAATGCGAAATATAAATTGTAAAAAAAAAAAAGAGAGAATAAAATATTTAAATCTTCTCATGCAATAAAAAATATATATATTACTTAATTACATTTCTGAAAATAATTTAAATTGTTTAAATTGTTTTCTTATTATCTTATGAATATCAATAAAATGTGTTTTATAGAAAAGTCACAAGTTAATGTTTTGAAAATGTTTTGATGCCAGTAAAAGTATAAAGTATAAAAGTAAAAAATATAGTTTTTAACAAAAAAATATTGAAATTTACCTTTATACGCTTTTTCAAGATCAAACTAAGTCGAATATTAGTACTATTCGTGTATTTTGGTATATTATGGCTTTTGTCTTTAATATTTCTTCGTGCTTTTTATATCTTTCTAAAATATTTATATGCTAAGATTAAAATAGGACACTCTGTATATTTCATTATACAAGGTAAACTATAATAAGTAAATGTCAATTTTATTATTTGCATAATTATTATTTGTATAAAAAATTATAACAAAGTTATACAATTTGAAAAAAAATATAATGGTGAAAATTTTTTAAATAATTTTTTTTTTTTTTTAAGATTTTAAAATAATCAGAATTTTTTAAATAAAATCCTATTTTATCTTTATAGATTAGAAAATAAATTCAATTATCATATTATTAAAATTTTTTAAAGACAAATAGCTACACGAATAAACGTCCGTTATCAATCAAATACTTCGAAAAAGCTGTTTTGCTGATGGTGTTTTCGTTGACTATAGCATAAGTTCATTGTTTAGCCATGTTTTGCAATATTATTTATATTTGCAATATAATTTTTTGTTATATTTATTTACATAATATTTATTATTAACATTGAAAGCATATAAATAATTAATGATTTTCTTTGATATGTAAATGCTGCTTTAAATATTTTAAAAAAAAATTTTGCAGGCTATCAATAAAGTAAGTGTAAGCATATAATAATTGTATATGTAGATGTCAAATATGTATTTACCAAAGTTGAGCATTATATAATGTTCTTAACATTTTATAATATTCAAATTAAAAGATTTTCTTAACAAATTTAAGCATATAATATCATTATTATTACAGTAAAATTTATATTATTATTATTATATTATTATTATAGTAAAATTAAATAATATTTTTAAAATTACTTAAATTAAAAAGTTTTTTTAACAAATAATTTTTCCAAATAATCAGCTTTTTTGTAGATAATGATTTTGTAAATGATGATATAGTTCAATTAAGATATTAAAAAATATTACATTCAAGAAAACATTTGATTTTTAAATGTTTTTCATCTATTTATTTATAAAAAAAACTTACTTATATTATATCAAATTATTTTTCTCCTGAAATTATATAATTTTCATACAAAATATTTATCTTGTATATAGAGTGTCCTATATAATCGTTATTACGATTTTTCAGACACTTTGTAAAAAAATTTATAAAATAAATTTTTAACATAATCTGTGAAAAAAGTATTTTCAACATAATTTTCAAATTTCAATAAAAGTTTTCAAAAAATTTTGTTTTCAATAACATATTAAAGTAATATTAAAGTCAACTTGAGTTTTTTAAATAGTACCATATATTTTTCACAGCAATCTAGCTGATGTTAAGACAAGTTCAATGACCTTGTATACTATGATCTTGAGATAACCTTGGATTCAGAAATATGAAATCTAAAAACGGAGACGTTAATGTTAAAAACAACGTAATACAAGGTATGTTGATTTTTATTTTATTTATACTTTTTTTGTAATACGTTTGTAATTGTTGAGTTTTTTATGATTTGATATAAAAAAACATTTAATGAAAATTATAACTTCGTGTTTCTGAATCTAAAATCACTTCAAGATCATAATCATTACATCAAGATCATACTGGATTATTGAATTCGTCTTGACGCTATACTAATAAAATAAAAATACACCTAAAAATGAAAAGATTAATTTTTGTTATTAGAAACAGAAGTGCAAAAGAAAGGAAGGAAGAAAAGAAAGAAAGAAAAAAAGATTTTTATTTATATTATTAAATTTATTAAATTTTAAATACTTATATTTATTTAAAAAATCATTTTTTATTCATTATTTACTTAAAAAATCATGATTAGAGTTATATGGAAATCTCATATAAAGTTTCATTTAAAAAAGTATCAATGATCTTGGAATCGATTTAAAAAAAATGACTATAAAAAACAAATTTTTTTATTGTATAACGTATAAACTTGTATTTTCCAAAAATCATTGCAGATTTCCTTTAAAATCCTTTAAAGTTATGTACTATTATATTTTTTTATAAATTTTTTTAACAGAAATTTTTATGATAGATTTTATAATTTATAATATCTATAATATATAATATAATATCATTTATATCGTTTATAAGTTTTAATAAATGCTATTGCATCAGTAATTCTTAATATTATATTAAATCTAAATTCGGATTTGTTATGAACAAATTTTAATAAAACATAATCAAATATTAATATATTATATGTATAATGCTAATATTTAATATTAGTGTGATTTCGACATATTTAATATATTAATTAAGGATTAAAGTAGTAAATTGTATTATAAAAAGTAAGAATACAATTTCGATTATATTTTTATATTGATCACGAAAGATAATTTTAAATGTATTGCTTATTATCAATAAAATTTTAAATGGCCATTTTTTTTTTTAAACTAAGTTTTGTATTACTTTCAACACAATTATTTTTTTGTTTTTGTATAAACATATTTTTTTTATGTAACATGTTACTATTAATTATTTTTTTTATTCATATCTTATATTCATAAATTCAATGCATTTTTTACTTTATTAATCACATATTGTACTATAACTTTAATATTTTAACTCTTTGCGCTCCAACGCTGATTCTTGGTCACCACTTGAGTTAATGCCGTAACTCCAGCGGTGACTCTCCAGGACCACTGGGATTGATGCGAACGGCGACTTGAACGGCGACAATATTTATTTATGTTTGATTCTTTTAGAATATCGCTTCATAAATAGATTCCTAAGCTCTTTACGTATAATCTTATGAGGTAGAATAATATATTGTTAAATGGCTAGATTTTTTATCTCAAATTAGACCGTGATCGTGAGTCGAATATTCAGCATTAATCTGAGTTTGACAGTCATGGCAATAGAAATATTATTTTCAAAGTTTTTGAGATTTGTAAGCATGAAATACCGTAATGAAATTAGTTGAAATAAAGATGAATTTGATTTTTCGTTATTGAATGACAAAATTATTCTTTCTATTGATAAAGAAATTAACGATAAAGAAAGCAATGATGAACATAAAGATGAAATAAGAAGTATAAGAAGGCGAAAAATAAGAATAATAGATAGTGAAAGCAATCAAATGAAGATATCGCAGAAAACACAGAAAATTCCAAATGGATAATGCATAGAATCGGAAAATATATCGCGAAGAATACAATTTGTACCCGGTGAAAAATTTGTAGGACCGCAAGTATCTTCGAATATAAATAAACCATTAGATTTTTTTAAACTATTTTTTATTGATGAATTTATTAATGAAATAGTGCACGAAACAAATAATTATGCAATAAAAAAGTTAGAAGAAAAAGTATTATTGCTCTACTTACCCTGACAAACCGAAGATGCATCTTGATAATTGCTTCATAAAATATCATACAAAACAACAATATAGATTTTAATATTCAATAAATTTTGTTATATGTAAAGATACATAAAATATTAAAATATAAAAGTTTTATGCGTTAATTTGTGTGTGAAATCATTATAAATTAGCTTAAATAAGAAATTTCACCGAATGTACCGAACGCACCGAACGCGCGGTCTGAGTCTGGAGTTACTGGTTCGACCGAGCGAAACAGACCTGGAGTGCAAAGAGTTAAAATATACCAACAACAGAATTATGAATTAATTTTTTTTTCTTAATAATTTCATAAATTGGATATTCATTTTTCATTCATACAATAATGACATGATTTTTTTTCTATTATTATTAAATTAATAATTTTCATTTTTTAAAAGAAGCATTTTGCAATTTTTTTATGTTCATTTTGTCAGCGTCATATTCTGTTTTGAGATCATTATTAAATAAAATAAAATATTGTTAATAATCTCTTAAGCAATCAAAATAAAATAAAAAATTTAGATCTATTTATTTTTTGATCGGGTATTATAATCGGGTATTTAAATATACGATTAATAATCGATCTAAGAGTAATATTTTACTATTTAATTTTTTCAAAATGATTAACCGTTTGATAATCGTAGATATAGGCATTTTGCTATATCATGATAATGTAATAAATAATATAATAAACATATATTTTTTCTAATATAAGCAGCATTTGCTTTAGAAATATATTTAATAAATAATAAATAATAATAATAATAATAATTTATAATTTAATAATAAACAAATTATATTGATAATTTATATTTATAAATATAACAAAGTAATTTGATTGAGATATATAATTTGAAAAGAAAGATATCAACGAAAAATAGTTTTTAATGAAATTCTTAATTAATTAATACAAGAATGTTTTAAAAAAAATTAATATTTATAAATTGTTTTTTCTATAAAAAAAATTATATATATAAAAAACAAATAATTTAATTTTGAATCAAAAAATAAATATATATGATTCTAAACAAATAAAATAAATATTAAATTTATTTTTTTTTAATTAATATTTAAAGCTTTTAGATATAATATAATTTATAAATACATTTGCTATCAGGATTTGAAAAAAATTTCTTGCTATTTTATAATTTTTTTTCTGGTTATTTTTGTCTTAATGAAAATTAAGCTTTAAATTGTATAAAAAGCAAGATGTTTTATAGACTAAATATTTTATATTAGTATATAATATTTATTTTTCTGTTTAATAAAATAGCATTAAGATTAAATAAATTAATTTTAACAAAACTAATTTAAATCAATATTAAAAAAGAAATATTAAAGGATAAAAAATAATATAACTTAAAAAAAATAAAATTGAATTTATAAATTTAATAAAATAAAATAAATTAATAAAATATTAATATATAATCTATCATTTTTAAGTATTAAATTTATCTCTGAAATAAGTAATTCTACTCAATATAGTTCAATACTTTTGATAGCAAATAATATATAAAAATTGATATCATAGATTTTGTTATTAACATATTTTTAGATAAAAATATAAAAATAATATAATAAATTTTAAATATGTTTTATATAAAATCCCATTATAGAATTTTGTAGCATTAAGAAATTATTTAATTAAAAATATCGAAAAAATAAATAATAAACAGATGAAAAAAATATAAGATTATTATGGAAGTATTTAACTATATTGATTAAAATTTATTATTAACTATTATTTTGTATTTAAATTAGATTATAATTTATAAGTATAAAGATGATTAATATTTACATTGTATTTATTTTTTATATAGGTGATACAAACTGTTTCACATACTGCAAGTCAACCACTTATTGTACAAACTATTCCATCTAGCACTGTTCAAAATTTTCAACCTGACGTATCCAGCACAGTACAAGATACAGTCTTTCGAGAAAGGAATGCAACATATTTTAATACAGTGCCAGCAACTTTGCAAAATTTCTTACCACCTAATTTATCATATAACTTTTATAATATTTCTAATGTTACATATAAAGAATGATTTAATATAACATAATATAATCATGTTACTCAAATCAATTTAAAGAAATACATGTATAAGTTTGTTTAATCAATAAGTAATAGATATTTCTTTCTGATTTTTAATTATTTAACATAATTTATATTTTATTTTAAAAATATAGAATTTCAAAGAATGTAAATAATTAAATAATTTATTTAAAAATAAGAGTAAGAAATAATTGTTTTATAAAAATTGTATATTTTCATTAATGAATAATCACAAAGAAAAAATATTTTTCAATATTTATATATAATATTTATCAATATTTTATTGATAATATATTTCGGAAATATTAAAATAAGAATGATGATAAAGAAGTTTTCTTTTTTATGACTTGAGTTGCTTAAGCTATGTACAAATAATATCTTACAAAGTCTATCTCGCAAATTATATAAGATGTTAATATTCAAGATAATTTTGATTTAATTCTAAAGGTCAAAAATTGATATATCGTTTTAGGGTTATTTATTAAATTTTAAGCAATTGAAGTTTGACAAAGCAAAACAGAAATCGTTCTATCCTAATTATTCTGCCTTTATTTCTGCTTCATCTAATTTATTTAAACTTGTTTAAATTGCTTATAACTTAATACATATATTTTAATCGATATTTTTATATTCCAACTTTTATGTTTGTTTAACCTCTACAATCATTAAAGAATTAATATGTCACGAATTAACATTTTATTTATTTATAGATAATTAGGTTGAAAAAAATCATTTATATGGTGTCATATATAGACAAGATAATGATGGAATTTTTACTATTTTTACTAAAAATAATGTATAAATATTCACAAAATGCAATTTATTCATTTTTAAGTCTAAAATATATATTTTATTTTATATGTTAATCTTTATTAATTATATTTTTTTTTTATTTCTATTTTAAATAATGCTCATAACATATATTCTTTTTGTATGAAATTGTAATTTTGAAAAAAATTAAATTTTAATTTTTAAATATTGATAATATTTAATCTGTAATTTTTATCTTATAATTTATTTTAATTAAAAATAATAATAAACAATAATAAGAATAATACTTAGATATTTTTTAAAAAATGTTTATTTATAATTATTAATTGCAAAAAATGTAGTTTTTGTAAATTTTTTTTATGTAAGAATAAAGTAGATTATAACGCTTTAACAATATTTTTGTCGTTTTTTATGATTTTTTATACATGTTTACATTTATTATTATTAATAATAATTTACAATTATTATTATTAATTATTTAAAAATTATTCATAAGCAAATATGTAATTTCATTTACATATTATTTAGTATCTTACATATTATATAGTATCTATTATTTTAAATTATCTTTTATCCACAAATGACATCACGTTTTCCCTATTATTACTTCAATTTAACTTGTGTTCGTAATATTCATAAATTCCTATATATAAACTCTATCTATATATATATATATATATATATATATGATCTAAGATCTGAGAATAGTGCTATATTTAAAGATGGCTGCAATAAAGTTCGGTCCTCAGTTAAAAGAACTACGAATTCTTTTATGTCAAACGTCAAAATCTAGTCAAGGTGTCAGGTAACAAAAAATTAGTTATATAAAATTTAGTATTTTTATACATTTATGTATTAATTTTAATTAATATATCGTTTTAAATATAATTAAATATTTTCCATTTTAACCTATTATTATTTTTAGAGATTTTATTGAAAAACAATATGTATCTCTTAAAAGAAGCAATCCACAATTTCCAATTTTAATTAGAGAATGTTCTTTAATAGAACCTACTTTGTATGCACGATATGGTAAATTTTACAATAAATGTTTTAATATTGATAAATTATATATTAAGATGTCTATTTGAAATTAATATATTATTAATTTATTTATAAATAAATTAATAATATATTAATTTATTTATAAATAAATGTTATATTTTAGAATTTGGAGTAGAACGATCTTTTTCCCTTCAAAATCTACAATCTGAAGAAATACTTCAGAGGATTCAAGAAATAGCAATTAGCAAATCAAAATAATATTTTTGATATTTAGTACATATATTGTAATTTATTTAAATATTAAATAAATTAGTGATATAAAATAATCTATAAGTTGATCAGATGATATCTAATTTATTGTAAAAATTATTATGTATTTTATTATATATATTTATATATATATATGTAAATAAAATATTTATATATATAAATACTTTATTAAAATATATATAATATATATAAATATATATAATCTAAAAATATTATAAAATATATCATACCTCATTATAACATATACATACCTTATACCTTAATATCCTGTAGAGATGCAATAAAAAAATATAATTGACGAAGATCCATATTTATATATAGATAATTTTATTTTCTATGTATTATTTATCAAAATAAATAATAAAAATATGAAACAATGTCCATTATATTGAACAAACAAAATTTATGATTAATAAATTCGTTTATTAAATATTTATTAATATAGTAAAATAACTTCTTATTTTTATAACTATACTGTATATACTACTATAACTATATATTTTAGTAATATTATTAATAAAAAGTTTTAGTCTATTATATGTTTTCTGAAAACATTATTACTATTATTTAATATGTTAACTTGAATTTTTCAATTTTTTTAATCATTTGAATACTATTTTAAAATATTAAAAAAAAAAAAATTTAACATAATTAAATTAGGACATATTATCTATTTCAAAAATAAAGACATAAAAACAAAAAAAATAGATGATTAGTTTCATGATTAATTAATGATTAATTTGTCTTTTGATATTTTTAGATTAATACATATATACATGTATATTTAGATCTATATTGTTTCATTTATAATAAAAAATTATAAATATATAGATTTTTATATATTATGATAAATAATTATTTATTTTTATTAGAAATCCATATACTTCATAATCACAATAATATATTGTATCTATTTATACAAATTTATAATATATCGTAACATTCATTATTAGTTATATAAATAAATACTTTTTATTTCTTGGATTTTTTGATTGAATTTGGATTTGGAACTTGGATTGAATTTTTCAAATTTTTTTATATTAATTCTTTAACCAATCAAAATAACTTTCAAAACAATATTATCTATTATAATATTGTACATATAATATAATTGGTATCTGTTATAAATAAATTTGTTATAAGAAAATCATTTCTTAAAAAAATCTGCTAGTAGTATTTTTAATATTACATATTAAAAATATAATATAAATATATATTATATATATATTTATATATATTTAATATATATATTAATTAATATATATTATATATATATATATTATATATATATTTTTATTATATATAAATATATATTACATATAAATATATAATTTTTTTCAAAATTAATCTGATATTTTTTTTATTCTCAGAGAAAAGCTTTTTGTTCTTTTCTCTTTTTACTTATCATATTTTAAAAAACAATCTATGAGCAATATGCAACATATTTTCACATTATTTGAATTTTGTATATAAATATATACAATATATATAATGAAGATATAACAACCTATATTTATATGTATCTTTATTTGGGATTTTATTTAAAAATTGCATTATTATTTATTTATTTTGACATTATATTCCAGATAAATTTGAATAGAATTTATTTTTAAAATATTAAAAATATTACCATTCTTGTAAAAAAAAATATTGTAACAAAAATATCATTTTTATAAATATTAAAATGGGAGTCAGATCTAATATTTAAATGTAATTTTTCGATTGATTATATTTTTCTTAAACTAAATCTTTTTTTTAATATCCCATATATTCTAAATTCTGTTCATATATTAAATCAAAAAATATTCATCCACAATCACAAAAAGTGATCGCCATTTGTTGTTGTTGCTATTATTGTATATCTATATAATTATATAACGTATAAAATCTAAAATTTTGATTTTTAATATGTAACATTACACTTTTATTTGGAAATACTAAAAAAATAAACTATTTGAAAACATTAATCATGATCGTTACAATTGTCACGTGAAAATATGTTCTAATAAGTGATAATAAAAATGTTATTATTTCCTTCCCAACTTACTTTTCCTCCTTTATTATTTCTAAATAAGAGTATGACGTTACATACTGAAAGAACTTTATCTGATAAATCTTGTAGACAATAATTATATAGTATCATTCTTTTCCCTTTTCTTTAATTAATTTTTCTCTCCCAAGTAGAATGTGACATCAAATTTTGTAAATTTAAAATCTATATCTGAATCTTATTTATAGTATATTTTTTTCATTCTTAGTCATTCAATACTTATATAAATTAGCAATAAAAAAGTTCATCAATTATTAATTATGATAATATATATTAATATGTATTTTAACATACAATTTTTATATAGATGATTAACAAATATATAAACAATGCTCGTTATACGAATTATAAAATTATTATCGAATTACATATTTACTAATTAAATTCTTATAACTTCATTTTTTTGCAAATTATGTTTCTAGCAATCGAAAAATTATAATTTCTCTAATTTTACAATTTCTGTGATGCTGACAATGAGTGAACTTACATGCATCTCTCTGCGATCAAACGATTTATGTAATACTTAATTTTGGATACTTATTTTTGAAAATATTAAATAATAACTCAAATATGTGCAATATAATACAATTACATAAAAGCAAAAATTCGTTTTTAAGAATTACTTTTAAATGAATGAAAATTTATAAAAAAAAATTAAAGAAAAAAATACATATAAAAACTTAGAAAATTATTGTTTTAAGAAATATTTATTTGTACTAAAAAAATTAATTTAAACATGTAATAAAATATTTCAATAGTAAATATTTGGATCAAAATCCAAACCGATCGGGCTTATGATTAATTTATAAAGTTATATAAAATGTTACCAAAAAGAATATTTGGTTGAAATCTTATTGATATAATAATTTTACTGCTTATGTCTCAAATGTATTTTGGGAATATTTTTTGCAATTGCATGAAATTTTTTATAATTAAACTTAATAATAAACTTAATTTCCTTGATTATATGAAAATATTGCTTATTAAAATATGATTTAATTTTTCAAAATAGAAAAAAATCATAAAATGAATTAAATTTAATAAGACTGAAATGTAATCGCCATTTACTTCATTCATTCGCTATTATTGAGATTCAAATGATATATTACATAATTAAAAAAAAAAAATAGTATTGCACTATTAATATATTAAAAGACTATTACGAAGAAAAAATAAATTAAATTTAGATTATATTATTAAAATATATTAATGAAACTTATAAAATCATACTAAATAATAAATCATAATTTTAAAATATATTAAAACATAATAAACTTGTTCATGTCTATTTTAAATAATAATATCTCAACATAATTCAAACATAATTCACTTTAATAACAAATATTATATCATAAATTTATAATTATATTCCATCAATATTTTTATATTTATCAACTATAATTTTTTTTTTCTATTATTTTTGAAAACAATCATCTATCTTTTTCGTTTCAAGCATATCTCACTCATATCATACTGATACATCATCTATATCATACAAATTTTATACTATAAAAATTTGATATTTTTAAACTTTTCCAATTTTTAGTACTTTTATATAATATATTAAACCAATTTTTTTCCAACCATTCTTAACTTGATATTATTATCTTAATTTATAGTAAAGAAAATTCGTATTATATTCGTATTTGTCTATATCACATATATCCACAAATATAACAGTTATAAAATTCATTGCCAATAACACCCAATAAATACTTTTGAGACGTTTTTTAACTTTTTCTGAATTATACTTCAATCCAAACAGTGAACCTGATATAGCAGTCTTAATTATTATAAAATCTTATACTTTAAAATCTTTAACTTTATATCCATATTGACATGAAAATAGTTTTTGTACAATAGCATAATACTATATATGTAAGCATGTTTAAAACATGTTACACACACACACACATATATATATATATATATAATTTTACAAATATAATATTGTAATATGAATATTAAGTGAAAACAAAAATATAAAACATAAAAAATTACATTAAAAATTATGAATTATGTCAATATTAAAAAATTACAAAATATTTTCATTTTACATTAGAAATAAATTTATTTATACTTACAAGAGACTTAATATTCTAAATTTTCTAAAATTTCATGATACACAGATTATTTATGAACGATAAAAATATATTTGCTATTTATCAGTGTAACTGTTGATTATAAATCATCATTTGTCATTTCAGTAATGAATAGATTATTCTGAAATTTAAAAATTTAATATTTATTAATTTTATGTTAATTTAAATATTATACATATGTGTATATTATTTTGTAAATGGTAATTGCAATTAATATTTTTCTAAATAGGATCAAACTCAAATCTTAAATAAAAAATTATTAATTTTAAACTATTTAAAATATTTAAAGTAAAATATGACAAATATTTAATTAATTTTATAAGTAATTGATGATTTAAATCTAATTAACAAATTAGCCATGTGAGATTTTTATGTAATTTTAATAATTATAGTATATTATATAATTATTATATAATTTTAAAATAAAAATTATAATAAATTATATTATCAAAATAACTTACTAATAAATAATAATAATAATAATAATAATAAAATATAATTTTTTTTGAATTTATAATTATTTGTATTTATAAAATCTTTAATTATTATTTTCCAAACTATTTATTTTTAAAAAATAAAATTTTTTTTTTAAAAATATTTTTAAAAGTAATATTATCCTCATTATTAATACATAAAACTTTTTAAATATAAAAATAATAGTAATATTTTAAAGAAATATTTTAATTTTATTTCATGATTTATAACAAAATGTGCATTCATAATTTTAATATATATAAATATATACAAAATATTATATATACATATATATATTCATGAATATATAATATATATATTCATGGGATATCTTTGAAAGATCTAAAGATTCTAAAAATCAAAATAAAAATATTTAATATATAAAAATATAATAATAAAATATAAAAATATTGATTAAGACTTATTAAGTTATA